TCAATCCCCAGTACCACAAAATAAATAAAATAACATTGAAAATATAGCTGAATTAAAAAGCTGTCCATTCTGTATCTATGGAAAGGAACAGATGCATCTGGGCTCTAGGTCTATAAGCAGGCAGTGACAGCTAGAGGTGCAACCATATGCAGAAACAAGGGAAAGTAATTGGAATAATATACATGACATAGAGGAACAAAAAATGCCTAGAGTTTTATGTTGATCTAAATTACTCTAAAGAAGGAAAAATAGACATTATCACACATGTATAGATTAATGTCACTTAGTAGCCAGCCTACCAACATTAAAAAAGAATACTATTGCCTATAATCCTAGCTACTTAAGAGGCTGAGATTGGGAGAATCACAATTTGAGGCCAGCCCGGCCAAATAGTTCATGAGACCCCCATCTCCAAAATAACTAGAGCAAAGTAGACTGGAGGTGTGCCTCAAGCAATAGAGCATCTGTTTTCCAAGCACAAAGCCCTGAGTTCAAATCCCAGTGTCACAAAAAATATATATATATATATATATTTCTATAAGCTAGAGAGTAAACTCATATGGAAAAGATGGGATGAGATATAAAAGACAGTGAGGAACAAAAAATGGATAAAATGTGTTGGTAAATTTACATATTGATAATAGAAATAAAAAACACTTTTAAGGCTGGCAGAGTGGCTCAAGTGCTAGAGTGTCTGCTTAGCAGATGTAGGGCCCTGAGTTCAAACTCCAGTGCTGCCCCCCAAAACCCACTCACTTAATATTTAATTCTAAAACTGCAATCAAGAGTAGTAAGATAAAAGAAGTTTTCAGTTGTTAAAAGCTTTATTTTTGTTCCAGATGAAGATAGAGATAGTAGTTGGTTAGAAAAACTTATAGGAGAGTATGTGTGTTAGCAGTAGAAATACAATCTTGTAAATTCCAAACCAGCAGTTGGGGAATAGAGTGGGAGGAGGATATGGAAAGTTGATTCAATCTAACAGATGGCAGAAAAGGTGAAATAAAAATAAATGCAAAAAAACAAGGATAGTACACTGAAAAACAGACAATAAGATAGTAAAGTCCAAATGTACCACAGTCAAGTGGTCAAATTTAACTGTGTTCCATATCATTTAAATTCACCCATGTTGTAAATTAGTATAAACAGTTAATTTTACTATGTTTTCAGAGACTTCCCTTATATTCTGGATCCTCTGCTATCTACCTGATAA